AAGACGGTGATTAAGGGGATGTGAGGTATACCCCTCAGAGCTGAGAAATAACTGCCTCAAGTCTGCACCAAGGGCTGAGTGCCCCAACACTTCAATCCAGTGACTGCAGAGTAAAGTGAGCCTGCTCTGAGGTACTACTGAATGGAGTACACTATTAAAAGGGGGTCTATTTTTTATCCCACCCTTTAAATTAGTGTTATGTACCATGAAGTCATAATCAACTCATAGCTGAGCCTCCAACAGATTTTCAGAGACAGCAAATCATACAGAAGGTGACTGCTTATTTTTCTCCCATCGATTTGGGTTGTCAGGAAACTCCTTATCATTAAGCCATCAGTGCTCACTTTAAACAGCCTTTTTTTTTTTTTTAAAAAAAATTATTTCTTAATTTTAATGAAAGTTTACAGAGACTTAGGATTTCCAGTCATTCATTGTTGCACTTTTCTCCCTGCCCACTCCCCTCCCCTCAAATCACTCTTCTTCTTGAAAAGAAAAACTCTTTCATTGTTATGTAATCCCTCCCCCAAAGTCCATTCCACTATGCAGCCTTCACTCTGGACTTGTGTAATGACAAGAATAGCCATTCATATATCCCTTTTAAATAGATCTCTCCCTTTAAACAGCCTTTTAAGGAAACCCACAGACTGGGGTAAAATATTTGGCAATGACATATCTGATAAGGGACTTCTACCTAAAATCTATAGAATACTCCAGAACCTTGACAACAAGAATGTAAACAAGCCAGTCACAAAATGAGCACAGGATATAAATAGGCACTTCATCAAAGAGGATTTTCAGATGGCAAACAGACACATGAAGAAATGCTCAAAATCCCAAGTTATTAGGGGAGATGCAAATCAAAACAACTATGAGATGCCATCTTACCCCACCAACAATAGCAAAGTTCAAAAGGACAGCAAACAACAAATGCTGATGAGGCTGCAGAGAGACTGGAACTCTTATTCACCGCTGGTAGGAATGTATATTGGTACAACCACCATGGAAGGCAGTCTGGCCATTTTTCCAGAAAATTGGAAATAGAAATACCCTTTGACCTAGCAATTCCACTATAGGAATATACCCTAAAGAAACTAGAGCTACAATTCAACCAGATGTACGCACCTCCATGTTTACTGCTGCATTATTCACAATAGCAAAGAGATGGAAGTGTCCATAAAGAAATGAATGGATGGAAAAAGTATGGTACATCCACACAATGGAATATTATGCAGGGTTGAAAAACTAAAGAAAATAGTAAAACATAACACAACATTGTAGAGCCTTGAGGACATTATGCTAAATGAAATATCTCAGTCACAAAAGGAAAAATATTGTACAGCACTGCTGTTCTAAAATAGGAGAGACATGGGGGGGTTGAGGAGGGAATTAGAAAGAGCTGAACAGATAATGAATGCTGCACTGGAACAGATTAAGAGAAGAACTGTTTGTAAGGAATATATGATTATACATTATACGTATGAGAACAGTTTGGGACAAGGGAGCAATGTGGGAGATGGGTGTGGAGAAGGAAGGGGGGAAAAGTACAATCATGAATAAATGAAGTTAAAAAAAATTAAGAGACTGTGTGAACAATAGATCTGAAGTCTGCCTTATCCTGTGCCATCCTCATCATCTCTGATATAGTTGAGCCCTTTGTTACAGTTACTGTGTCTATTCATCTTTCTAAGGGTCTTCCTCTCTTTCACTGACCTTCCACCTTTCCAAATATGATGTCTTCTTCCAAGGACTGGCTTCTCCTGACCACATGTCCAAAGTATCCTGGCTGCATTTCTCCAAGACATATTTGCTTGTTCTTTTGGTAGAACATGGAATATTCAGTACTCTTCTCCAACACCATGATTCAAAGGCATCGATTTTTATGTTATTCTCGTTTGCTGTCCAATTTTCAGATGCATAGCAAGTAATTCTTAAGATCCTAGCCTGGATCAGATGCATCTTTAGTCTTTTTAAATTAACACCACTGCTCTTTACACCACTTCAGAGAAGACACCGTCAGCCTATTTTTCCAATGTACATGTCTTAATTTATTGACTCCTAGTACCACAGGTATTCTTACCGTGGACCCAAATAAGATTAAATTGCTGACAACTTCAGTTTTTTCTCAATCTATCAAGACGTTGCCTATTGGCCCAGTGGTGAGGATTTTAGTACAGCAAAAGAGAGAGGCATATGCTTTATAAATGAATGTGCATTTAAAGTAAGTTCCAGGTAGTGAATGTATCTTATTTAAGTAGAATGAAAATATTCTCTTAAAAATGGTAAGAATGTACTGTTGGTACTTCTCCCCCCCCAAAGGTGTTTCTTACTTGATAGAACACTTCTTTTCCCACAACTAGGATGAAATTATCATCTGACACATTTAACACCACATTCTGGCATGAAACAGTCAAAATTTGTCTTCAAAATAATCATTAACATCAAAGCATTTCAGGGATCACAGGTAAGGAAACCTAAGTGCAATGAACTTCTAAAGTTCAAGCCTTCAAAAACACAAGAAATTATAAAAAAATGTGTCACTGCTTTCATCAAGTGGTAACTAAACTCAATGCCTGGTGGAGACATCATCCACCTCCCTACCATTCCTGGTATCCACGGCATTTGTGATACTGTAGCTCCTCCCCTAGGAGGTGGCATCATCCCCCATGTGGCAGGCTTTGGCCACAGAAGGCAGCAGGAATGAAGCCTGAATTGAGGTCTTCCAAGGCTGAAATTGGCTGTCCCCTTGGAAACAGCACTGCCACTGCTGCCAGCACAGCCTCTTAAAAAAGGAATAAATGCTTCCTTCTTTTTTGCTTTTAATGCAAATCTATTATTGTGCCAAACTCCACTGTGTCTTTTTAATTGAGTTTAAAAAGACACCATGTAGCACAAAGCCAAGTCAGGCCAGCTCTCCAGCTGAGGCCCCAGACCAAACCTGCAAAATAAGCTGCAGCTCATCTCCTGGCTAGCTGCACACGTGTGCAGAGGCCCTGAGGCCAGAGCAGGATTCAGCTGACCCACAGGCCCAAGAGCACAGCCAGTGCCTGATACTTCAAGCCACCAAATTTTGAGAAGTTTGTTATACAGTAATATCAAACTTACTGACAGAGCCGATATTTTATTTAAACAAACTCTTACAAAAATGGTTTTATTATCAAGTGTTAATATTACTTACCTAAAAATCTACGAAGTTTCACCATATCTAAATCGAAGCATTCAATTAATCCATGAAGACTAAATAAATGAAAGGTTAAACTTACTAGACTATTTCCTAAAAAGAAAGAAGAAATATTACATTAGCAGGAAAAACAAGCCAACGTAACTGTGTTGTGTCACCAAACATGAACTGTGTAGTAAGGAGACCTAATTTCTACTTTCTGTGTATCTAAAATTCCTATCTTATTTTACCAGTTATAAGCATTAAATATAATACTTTTATTCCACTGTAAATAGTAGAATGATTTTTTCAATTCTTGAAGCTTTTTAAAATTGGTTTGCTTACAAAGTTCATATACATTCTTCATTCACATTATTTCATACAATCATTCTCCTGCATTGTTTTATAAAATTAATCACCATTTGACCTAGCCCAATGCTGTCCTGTCTTTTTGCCCAGATCCTTCCCATTTCCTTCTCCCCCTACCAAACTGTGCAACCCTGTGGTTTCGCCTTGACCCACTCTCAGTCCTCCCCACTCTGACTTCCTATACATGTTTTACTAGTTATCCTTCTATTTTTACCATAATGGGTTTATGTAGTATTTGTTCTTATAAGACTGTGTTACCTCACTCAGCATAATTCTCTGCATCCTCTCCCAAGTTATATAGTACTTTTCAAAATCATTGCTCCTGAGTGCTGCACAGTTAGAATGACTTTTTGATGCTTCAGCTATGTATATGTAAACAATCAGAAGCTTCGCATTTTCGGCAAGCTCTGGTGGCCTAGTGGCAAGATGCTGCACTGCAATCCAAGAGGTGCACAGTTTGAATCCACCAGATGCTCTGCTGGAGAAGGAGGAACAATCTCCTCCTGTACCAGTCAGATCTGATTTGATGGTACACACACACACACACAAAATAATAAAATAAATTTTAAAAACTTAAAAAAAAAGAAGCTACACATTTTCAAACAAAAAATAATTCATCTTTTGGTCCCTCCAGCTTTCATTTTTCTATTTCTAGAACATCTTAAGTTTCCCAAGAGTTCATGCAATGATTATAGCCTTCTTAAACCTACAACTTCCACTCAGCTGTCAATGGCTAGAGTCACATTATGTATAGAAATTAAGTTTGAAAAGAAAAAACGAACACTGCTATTTTTAAAATCACTGAGCAGTTCTATTCTGTCTGACAAGGTCACTCCAAGTTAGAGCCAACATGATAGGAGTGGGTTTGCTGTTTCAAAATACATTTTAAAGGAGGATGATCTGATAAAATATTTTAAAGGGACATAATCTCATATGGTGAAAAAAGATGAGCAATCTCCTTGCATGCTATTTTTTGCTCCTGAAAACCTGCTGGAGGGTCAGATATGGGTCAGTGCTGACTCGACGGCACATAACACCAATCTTATAAGTGGGCAAAGCATAAACAGGATTTGTGTTTTCTCTGAAAGTGTCTATACTTCTTAGTAAAATGCATAAAGGCTGCAACTAACTGCACATTGAGTTTTCTAGCAACTGTATGTACAAAAGATAATGTAACATTATTTGGCTGAACTTGTTATCCAATAATTCTCCACAGAAGACGATGGCTAAGGAAAAAGTAATTTATTTGGAGCAGTATTTGCATAAGCTTTGTTGAGAAGGATGTGGAAGGGCAAAAGACACTTTTAAAAACTTACCATATATCTCTCTCCAATAGATAAAAATTTTTTTAAATACTTAACACTTAAAAAAAAAGTGGTAAAGTGCATTCAAGCACTGATAATGGTAACACATGGGCCCACGTGGATGGACATATTGATAAAGTGAGCTGTGTTCACTTAGTACAGTGTTACCAACCTACTTTTCTTCAGATAGACACAGAAATGTCAGAATGTATATTCATTCTTATGTTAAAGTCAAGCAAAGGGGTTCTTCAGAAATAATTTTCCAAATCTAAGTAAACTGTCAATTTCTAGTGTCTGAAAGAAAAAAGAAAGCTGTAATCTAATGGGGAAAGTGCCCTCTCCTGGGGACCCAGGAAAAGACTCAGCAATGCTCCCCACCAGGGCTTCATACAAATCCAAAGCCACACACATCAAATTCAACAGCTGCATCCAACTGTCCCCTTTTCATTTCACAAAGTACCAGCTGTATATTTTCATCCCAGTGAGTAAGAACACAGAGAGCATAATATCTCTCACCTTTTTACATAAATCAATATTTAAAAACGAATATTTAAAAATGAAATATTTTTAAAAGGATTGATAATTGATACTTTAAAAATAATAAGACAGAAAAAAAATAAAAAAGCACAGAACTATTTTTTTTGGAAATAAAACACTTTCTTGGAAATGAAAACTGTATTTACAGAAAAGCTATCCTCATAAATATATACCAAAGGGTAGAATTCCTACCTGTCCTCAGGTACCAGGTCACTTGCAGGGAGATAAGCCCTATTGTGCTATCTGAGCCACCCCACCTCTTGCCTGTAAAAGGAGTATCAGCAGTGTTCTAGCAGACAATAATTCTAAGCAGGTACTATCTTTGGAGGGGAGAAGCTGGGGGCCATTTGATTTCTTTCTCCTCTTCTATGTTATCAGCATAAGGGATGTAGAAAGTACTGGATTAGGCCAAAAGGGAGGAGTATATTCTCAGATATCATGGACATATATAATCTAGAATTCATTTTAGGCTAAAATATTTTGTAAAGGAAGTATCTCTAATTACACATAGCATAGAAAATGACTTTTTTATCTTCTACCCATTTGTTTCCATGGTATCATTGTTTTATTGTTCAAAATGGTGTTCCTAGCCATTGGCTTTGACTTTCACCATATGACTGGGCAGAAACTTGAAATAAAGTGAGTTTAAACTAACCATTATGGGATTGGTCAGTTTTCCCCAAAGTAAATCTGAGCTGATTTAGCAGTAGAGTTAGGACTCTCACTACCAGCAGGGAAAAAAGAGGCAGTCAGTGCAGTGCACATTCTCCTGTTCAGAGATTGCTGCACCAGACAGACTGGGATCTACATGAGAGCAACAGCCACCTCAGCAGAGAACCAGAGACTGACATGAAACAGGGCTGCCTTGAGACTGCTGCCCCACTGAGCCAGAGCCAGGGTCCTTCATACAAGTCTGCTAGAGGTAAGAAGGGTGACATCGTAATTGGTAAGACTAACGACGCTCTGGTGACTTCTTGTGTTGACTGCCGTCGAGTTGAGCAGGACTCATAGTGACCCTATAAACAAAAGACCTGGAGCCTTTCTATAACTATCATTGTTTCTCAAAGTTCCTACTCTGCAAAGACATGTTGTTTAGGAAGTGGATGCCACTGGTGGCTTAGAGGTAGGGATCTGTTCTGACAAAGCAAAGATATGCAGTTCAAATCAACCAGTTGCTCAGTGGAAGAAATATGGGCAATCCACTCCTATGCAATTTACTGCCTCTGAAAATCCACTGGAGGGTCAGCTATAGGTCAGTTCCAACTCGATAGTATACAACAAGAAGGGAATTTTGTAACATTGACCTGAGCCTTGAGGCTGAAAGTCAAAGGGCCTATGAGCACTTTGAGAAGTCCTGACTGAGGAATTGTATCCTGATGCCAACCTGATTTCCCAAAAAAACCCTCCAAACCATGAATATGGTTCTGTGAGATCTGTGTGGCCACTACAATGGAATTCAGACCCTGTAGTAGAGCTGTACATTTGATGTCTGTCCTTATGGGAATTCATTTTTGTACTGTGGATATTCTAAGCACATGTCAAGTAAGGCTGTCTCACACTTCTTTTACTCATTTTATAGTTTCCCAATAATCTCTAAGTAAAGAATCCATTTTCAGGTAGTTGCAGCAATCGAGAGAGTTCTGGTGCCATAGTCTGGAGGGAGTTGTGCTATTAACCCAAAGGTTATGCCTCTCTGGCAGTTCGAATCTATCAGTGGATCCCACGAGAGAAAAACAGGCAGTTTCTAGCCATGCAAACTCGCTGGAAGGAAGGTCAGCTATGAGATGGTTCTGACTCAATTTTAATGAATTCTGAGTTAATAGTTAATTGAATATGCATACTAACTGTTTGTTGTTGTTGCTGATTGCCACTGAGTCAAGGCTGACTCACAGCAACTCTACGAAAAAAAGATTTAATGCCTTTCCAAAGTTATTGTTGTTTCTCCAAGTTCATAAAATTTCCAGAGGCATGTGGTTTAGGAAGTGGATGTGACTGCTGCTTCCAAACCTGGTTTACTTACTTTATCAGGAAAAAAAAAATCAGAGTATATAATTCAACACTTAATTGAAACTTTTACTATGATGGGTCTACCATAAAGTATTAAATTGATAATGCTCCTGCTTACAATTTTAAGAATACACAAGAATTTCTCAAAACATGAAACATTAATCATAATCAAGGACAAGCTATAACAGAAAAGCCTAATTTGAGTTTACAAACTATTGAAAAAACAAAAGGGGGGAGATGGGATAGGACAATTATCATCTCTTTGAACTATTTTACAAAAAGCCTTATTTACTTTAAATTTTTTAAACGTTAAAAAAAAAAGAAACTTCAGCTGAGAGGCACTGAGTATTATAACCATCTCAAGAATTGAATCAGTCTATATATTTTAAGGAACCTCTAACTAATGAACGGAAAAAGGGATTTGTATTAGATGAGCTTGAGGATTTGCTTGTATCTCTACAGGCTCCGAGATGCTGTGGGTGCCATCAAGAAACGTGAAACTCCGAGATGAGCGGAAAGAGACTACACTTCGGCGAGAAAAGAGCTGCAGAATGGATGAATATGATGACACTGAAGAAGTGTGAAACACTGGGACCATTACCAGAGACTAAAAAGGTCAAGTTACCCACATGGAGCTAGATAAAGAAATTAACAATGGAAGGACAAAAAGTATTACAAAAGACAGGGAAACCAGTATCTTCTGAACATTTGTTTTTAGCTATGTTTGCTATATTGACTCAGGTAGGAATAGCAGATAATACCAGCTATTGGGCATATATTCTTAATCCTCCCTTATTTAAGTAGTTCATTGGTTTGATGCTCCAGTACCTATTTATACTAAAGACAGTCAGTGGCTTCCAGGTCCCCATGACCGGGGACCCCTTAAACCTAATGAAGAAATAACTCCTTCTAATTGTAGTATATGCCCTGATGTTTTCTCCATATGCACTGGGTATAAATTCCATTGTCAGAAGTTCAGGCATGGCATTACAAAGTTTTGGGTGATATATATAATAATATATCTCTCTAGGGGGCATTTCAAGGATATAGTTTTCATAAAATCAGCAATTTCTAAGCCCTAATGATCTGGAATCAACCTGAAGAAGAAATCATTTTGCCATTCTATTCACAAATAAATTTTAAGGAATAAGGCCATTAAAGGCAAAGGAAAGTGCTCAGTTAGTTAATGTGGACTGGGGGCTACTTTCTCCTCACCAGCACACGGCCACTCTTACTCCACTTTTAATACACCAAGACCTCCTGACTAGGAAGGTCTGTACTTCTAAAGAATATGACATAGAGGGGAATAATCAACAAATTAAATGACTGACCAGTGTTCCCGGATACTAACAACAAGTTATAGACTGTTAAAAGGGTTTAAATAGTACTAAACCTAGAAAGTGTTAAGAGTGGCATTGTTTTATTTATATTTATCTTTTAATAATAACAAAAGTAGTTGTGTTGTCTTAAGAAAAGAAAATTTCTCAAATCTAGAAAAGGCCAGGCCACCAGGCATTACACTCCCTGTATTTTTTTTTAAGCATAAAGTTTTCATTGTTGTTGTTGTTGTTATGTGCCGTTGAGTCGCCTGCGACTCATAGCGACCCTATGTACAACAGCCCTAAACTCCGCTCTGTCCTGTGCCAATCGCACTGTCTCTGACACTCCCATCCCAATTATCCCAGTCACTGAATCAATCCACCTCAGGAAGGAGAGGCCTTCCTCTCCTGCGCCGTCCCTCCACCCTCCCAAGCATGATGTCCCTCTCCAAGGACCGGTCTCTCCTCACTACATGTCCAAAGTAAGTTAGACGGAGCCTCAGAATCCTTGCCTCCAAGGAGCCACCCGGTTTAACCCTCTCCAGGACAAATCTGTTCGTTTTCCTAGCAGTCCATGGTATTCTCAGTACTCTTCTCCAGCACCACAGCTCAAAGGCATCAGTTCTCCTTCTATCCTCCTTGGTCATTGTCCAACTCTCTGATGCATAACAGGTGATTGCAAAGACCATGGCCTGTATCAGATGCACCTTAGTCTCCAGAGAGACACCACTGCTCTTCAGTACTTTGGAGAGGTCCCTAACAGCAGACTTTCCCATGGCAATGTGCCTTTTAATTTCCTGGCTGCGGGTGCCAAGACTGTTGACTGTGGAGCCAAGCAAACTAAAGCTGTGTACAATCTCAATCTCTTCACCATCCATCCTGATGCTGCCGATTGGTCCAGTGGTGAGAATCTTTGTCTTCTTGACATTGAGCCTCAATCCATATTGTAGGCTGCAGTCCTTGACACTCTGCAGCAGGCGCTTCAGGTCCTCCTCAGTTTCAGCAAGCAGGGTTGTGTCATCCGCATAACGCAGATTGTTGATAAATCGTCCACCAATCCTGACCCCACATTTCTCCTCATAGCGCCCAGCCTCCCGGATAATCTGTTCTGCATATAGGTTGAAAAGGTATGGAGATAGGATGCATCCCTGGCGTACGCCCTTCCCAATTTTGAACCATGCAGTGTTCCCTTGCTCTGTTCTGACGACTGCCTCCTGGTCCAAGTATAAGTTTCGCATTAGAACGATCAAATGTTCTGGGATACTGCTAACAGCCAGGAAGTTAGATGGAAAAGGAGACTTTCTCACATAGCCAGAACAGATATCACAAGGTCGTATTATGAAGATGTCATATGCATAAACACATGGTGTCTTTGGGTGGGTTTGAAACTCTCCATTTTCGGTGAATAGCTGAACACTTGACCACTTGAACATACTACCCAGGGACTCCCTGGGTCTTTTTAAGGTACACTCTCTATATTCTTAAGAAAAAGGTGGCTGAAGGTTGGAAAAACGAGTATGTAAATTATAGTATAAACTGCCCAGTGTTACCAGGCTAGGCCATTCTAGGTCATCAAAAGAAAAAGAGGTAGACGAGAAATGGTAAGAAATGGTAGATAATAAAAAGGCAGACAGGGTGAAAGAAGCTTAGCAAACATCACATTTCACTTTGGCCTACAATCAGTCCAATCTACTTTCTTTCTGTAACATGCAGATGAACTGAACGTGGCTACAACAGCATCTTGCTATGCATGGCCACAGATCTAAGGACAGCATGAAGCAAAAAAATGTCTAGATCCACACTGATTCTCAAGATGAACAAAGTAGTATTACTTGTTTATCCATCGGCTTTACATATTGGCTTCCTTACAAAAGAATCTTCATTTCAATGTGAAATAAGAAAAAAAGAGAAATCAAAGTACATTTGTGACCCACATATTTATTTCATTTTCCTCTAGAATTGAATTCTACTCAGAGTTCCTTCCCCTCTGCTCTATTTTATTAAAAAGTTATCTGGATACAAAAAGGGCTGAACTACATTAGCTGAACTACACACATCACCAAGAATTATGGCAAACTTTATAGCTCAATAAAATTAATTCCCAATGGGAACTGTGCTTCTGTTCACAAAGAAAGTGTTATTTTTCCAGAAAGAATAGGAAAACTAAACACCCTCTCCCACTTCAAAACAAAAAACCCAGGGGGGATAAAGGAATCATTTGTGGGCAGTTTTCCAAACGACACATCCTTCCCTTAGATCCTGAAAAGCTGTCTTAAAGCAGCAAGCTCTTCCCTCACCTCACCAGTAGAAGCACTGCTGACAACAAAATATGCATAAAATACGCAATATCAACTCAAGTGTGCATGGAAAGAGAAGCCTGAGAACATCAGTACTATGAGAAAGCCTACCACTTAGAGGTCTTTAATCATGGCTATTAACACGGAAATATCATACAAGTAAATGTCATGGTCAGTGACATAATTCAAAGAAGGAAAGTCAAGAACACAGAATGAATATTCACTTGCAATCATAAGTAATAATCACATTAACGAGAGATAGCCAAGCAATGATGATGATTACTTCTGATTGCTGTTAAGAGTAATAATCAAAAAAGAAAACTGTAAAGTTGATTATATAGATTCACAGACCAGCCACTAGAGAAGGGACAAACGATGCTCTCCTCCAACAGAGGGGTCCAGAAATATCAGTAAACAAAGTAGTAACCACCGTGGCTGCACCATCAGGGTAGTCACCCACAAAACCACATTAACTTGAATAAGTCAAATTCTTCACTTACCATTTGTTAGTCTATCAAATAGAAAGATATCAAAATTCCAATTTCCAACTTTTTCCAGCATACACTGAAATGAAAACCAGACATTCCTACTGTAATTTAATTTCCATAACATTCTCTATCTTTTGTAGACAGTCCATAGAGAAGTTAATGAAAATGGAAGGTGATTGACTGATTTTAAGAAATGCCAATTAACTTTCCTTTTAATCAGGACTATTCCAACAACTCCAAAAGAGACTGAAGTCCAAAAGAATAAACTTTATTTGATACTAAAACATTGTCTTATTTTTCCCAATTAATGGATGTATAGATAAAGACAGTATCTATTTTCATTTATTCCTATAATCTCAAGAACATTAATAAATCTTAATACAATCTAACATTAGTTTTGTGTGGTTCAAAAATTGCATGTTTGAGAAAGTAGATTTTAAAAATCTAGTTAAAATAAGTTGCAACTACTATTGAGATCTTACTACATTCCAGAAACTATTATAAATATTTTCTTGTTCTTTCCTACTGACAACACAGTAAAGCAGATACTACCTGCAAATCTCATTTTATGGATGGGGAACTCGAGGAGGGGGAAGGTAAAAGGAACTTTCTTAGCTAGAAAATGACAGGGCTGGTATTTTAAACCAGACAATCTAATTCCAGAATCTAGCATATACTATATACAACACTTATTGGCCACTCTATTTTTTAAAAAATAGAATTTATTTATATTATGTTAAAACTGATATTCTTTAAATACCCTTTTGAATGAAATAGTAACACTCACTATATTAATTTTTAGCATAGTGAATATTTAAGCCAAGTTAATGAATCCCACAAAAACCTTAAATTCCAACTAGATTATATCCTATATAAATATATGTTGAAAATTCTCATTTGGTCAAAGCTAAGCTCATTAAACTTACACCTTGATTAAGATATTTTATTTTTATTCTATAAAGATACAATAAATAATGCTTACAACCACTGGATTCAGTTTAAATATGTTCAAATCCTCAAATGCTGTACTGATCTAAGAGGCTCTGAAAAATCATTTGGTTGAAATTCATGAGAGCAGACTTCCTTTGCTGATTTTCCCTCTAATCAGCTGGGTGAACACAGAACAAGTTCGTTAAGCCTTCTAGGCCTACACTTCCTTATCTATAAATGAAGGCATCTCTAGGATCTGCCCAACACTACAAACTTAGTTTACTAACCTTCAATCTAACTATCTGTTACTTAATGATAAAGTAAGTTAAAATATTTTAATAATTTTAGTTATTTAAGCAATTTCTCTTGTTCTATTCTAACAAACTGTAAAACGAACATCTGCTGTAAAAAAAAAAAATAATAAAGGGTCCCAAATTACCTTCACAAATGAGTCTCTATAAATTAGTACCACAGAGAGTAAAGCTCTTCATTAAATATATCAAAAGAATAATGATAGTAGTAGTAGTAGTATAATAACTAATAATAATAATTATAATGTTTTCTTAAAGCTGTACACACCTTAGCTTGTCCATTATAATCATCATCTAAAATGTTCAGAGAATTTGAAGCCGTAGTACCACGAAAAAAGCGGGAGGATCTAAGATACCGCTGGAAACTCAGTAACCTCCTGAGGCTCCTTGCAGAGACAGAAACTTCACATTCAGATTGAGCTGAAATAAAAGCAGTAAAAAGTGAGTGTATCGAATCACAGTGTCCACTGTGAAATACTTTTCTTTTTACTCTATAAAGGTAGAATAAAGGATGCTTACAACCACTGGATCAAAGTACTTTTAAAATTAATCATGCAGTATAACTCTCAAAGAGAACAGGTAGTTTATTTTCAGCTGAAAAATTAAGAATGGAAAATTAAATCATCAACTTTACTTTTTAAATTTTATTTTTGTTGTTGTTGAGAATATACACATAGTACATACAGCACTTTAATTTCTACCTGTTCAATGACATTGATTATATTGTTTTGCAACCATTCTCATCTTCCTTTTTCAAAGTGTTCTGTTCTAATAACAAACTTACTGCCCATGGAATTTCTTAGCTAGTCTTTTGAGTTGCTATCAATTCGATTCTATGTAGTTCCTAAAAAAGCCTTATGTTTAAGGTAGACCAGATAGCTTTTGCCAGCTAAGCTAAAACTCTGGCTTGGCTTTAAGAACACTTGAGAAGTATCTTCAATTTAATGTTTAAAGATTATCTCGGGACAGTAGTTTCAGGGATTTATCCAGAATAGCCGTGTTTGTTTTGTTTTTTATAATTTGATATTTCATTTAGCATCTCCCCCATTTTGATCAGGATTCACCTGTAGAATTTTTAATCAAAACATTCAGTAATGATAACTGGGCAATGTTCAGTTGTTCTAGTCACATGGAGGCAGACACATATTCCATTTCCTCCTCCTATCCCTGACTCTCCTCGTTACTGTGTCACTCCAAGCTATCAGGGACCAACTGCTGTATCTTAAATGCTGTATCTTAAAAGGTTTGAAGCACTTAGAAATTTCATGAAGATTCTAGCTGGAATAAGAATCTGTTTTCTTATACCTTTCAAGAACTATTATCTATCATTTTCTGTGAACACACCATACAGACATCATGGACTGTATGTACTAGAATCTGATTTCATATTACCTTTCACAGTGAAAAGATAGGTCTCAAGTTACACATAAGACTGTAATAATTATAAAATTAAAACATTTCAAGTCCTAATGATATCACTGGGGATGCTTTAGAAGGGGAATTTTATTAGGAAAAAAAAAGATGGTTCTAAAGGACAGTGATAAAATTGTGCAAAGTGAAAACCTCAGGAAAGATGTTGTTTACGGATTAAAGACAAATATTACATCTTTAAATAAGAGTAAAAGCCATTTCCCCCTCCCATGTTACAAATCAAAGAAAACTGAAGTTTCTTTGATTCAGTACCAATTGAAAGCATAGACTTGAGTTACGAGCTACTCAGAGGTAAAAAACCTTATTTTTAAATTCTAAAATCCAGTTCTGTGAAATGTTCATACTATAAAGAGATCATGACCTTTGACCTTTAGTGACTTGCATTAACCAGGTAAAATAGTAGTCACTCAAGCATACTCTCTTCTGTGTCCCATTCTCTTCTACCAACTTACAGTACTAGGTTTCCTCATCTATAAACCTGAGACCATAATATCTGATTTAATCAGTGCTGGATAATGCATAAAAGAATCTGATATATAGTAGGTATTAAACAAATGGCAGGAATCTAAGTGATGATGACATTGACATTGATGCTACTGCTTCTGGTAATTACACTAAACTCCAAATTTGCCCATGTTTCTCTAAATAAAAGCATTCAATGGCTCCTTAACTCCGATCTCTTTCTCCCTGGGAGGAACAACTGAATTCCTACTCACACGCCTGTTATGTGAGAGAGATGGATAACATCTCCTTGAAATTTCCAAAACTTCCTACACTTACATCTAGTATCTCTCTCTAATATTTTATTGTAAATGCTCGCTTATCTGCCTCCTTTCACAGAAGATGACCTCAAATACAAGGATTCCCCACCCCCTTTTTGTACTTCAAAGTTTAACATGCTGCCAAGATATTATGTCAGTACTAGCTGCGTCAATTCAATCCTGACTCATGACTGCTCAGTGTGTATTAGCGCAGAAGTGAGCACCGAGGGTTTTCAACAGCTAAGTTTTGCAAAATCAATTTCTAGGTCTTTTCCCCAATACATCTATGTGTGGACTCCAACTTTTTAGTTTGCTGCTGAGTATACCAATCTGAGTGCACCATGCAGAGATTCAAGGTAATATCATCTGTAAATTTACTGAGTAAATCCATAATTTCTATAAAATCTAATCAGCTTTGCTTCAAAGAAAGCATTTTTTTCATACCAGTGGGTTTAAAATGCAAAGTGTCTAGAACAACTGTGGATAATACTTCTGATCTTTATCAATACAACTTATATAAAAAGGATGAGAACCAAGATAGCAAAAGTATTACTCTAAGGTAATTATGTTTAAACAAAGTGTAGTTTAGATGAGGAAGTGATGGTAGCTGAAATCCTGCGAAAGCAATGTTCCAGGTGTACTCTGAAATGCCAGCTCATGTAGTACTCAAAGAAAGATCTCAAAAGACAAATATTACTATCCTCCATTTTACAAACTAGAACCCTAAACTTGAAAGAGATTAAATAATATGAAGGATGGGCAATCTCCTCCTGTGCGATTAATTGCCTCTGAAAAAAAAAAACCAAAAACAAAAATCCCCGGAGGATGAGCTATGGGCCAGTTCTGACTAGATGGTACAAACCAACAGTAACAACATACCTAATATGAGGGACAGCAGAACTTAAAAACATAGACGTTTACAAAGTCTGTGCTTACACTATTATTTATATGGCTTCTCTATTCTCTACAGTATTATTTATTTTCATGGCTATGAAAAACAATCTCTGTACAGCATTATTCAAGTTCTTTTGATTTAGGTATGCACAAGAGTAAACCCAGAAGTAAAAGGGCTAATAATGCACAGGAATAGAAGCGTGTGTCATGGCCCCTACAGTCTTACTCCTATAAAATAACTGGACGAGACAGCAGGAGATGGCCCCAGCATGTAGGGCAGACATGAAATTGATTTCTTATAATTCTAGGGCCTCAATCCCTGCATTTAAAAGGCACTTAGGTGTCTTACAAATATAAGCTCACAAAAATTGGTTACCACAACAGTCCATAAAGATTATAATTTCTATTCTACCAATGTAACCTTAAAAAGGTAAGTAGAAGTGTAACAGTGAATTAGAGCTAAGGCATTAAGATAACTTCTGAACAATGCTGCAGAATGCATATTTATTCTTCATTACAGAAAAGTTATCTAAAAAACATTTCAAAGTCGAGAGTATGGCTTCATGAGCATTCCTTCAATTTATCTCAAATCGCACACAAAGGGTAAGAATTTGTCACTGGAATTTTATATTCAGCATATGTGTAAGTATACAGAGATGTGTATATACAGATAATGATAGTAGAACCAATGCTTTCAAATGTTAAGTTCAAACCAATGCATCCTTAAAGTAAATTTGAGAATGTTTTAGGCAATTGCATAAGGCCTAAAAAAGAAATGAAGTAGACCCATCTGAAGAGAGGAGACTCCAAAATCTTGGTTTACAATGCTAATACCCTCACTTCCACCCGGCAGTCAGTTTTTAAGCCAGATGGCACTTGTGTGAGTCAGAGCCCATACTCCTCTTGTCTCACTCCTATTTTCTGGATGACTTCTGACAAGTCACAACATCTTAATGTATCCTACCCAGTAACCAGAAACATAAAACAGTCTGTGTCTTTCCCACCCTACCCCATTTTTACAGAATTCTGAAGCTGACACTCATGACATTACAGCATGATTGAGAGTTTCGTCTTAATCACATTAAGATGAGTATCACACAACAACTAAAGGGGAAATGCTCACTCATCATAACAGCCCACTGCCTCCCAGTGAGATCTAACCCATAAGGAAACCCAGACAAGATAAGAAGCAAATTACCGGACATTTCACAGAGAAACCTAGAAAGGACAGAGAACATAGTCAGAGGAAACAACAGATCACCCAGAAAGAAGTGTTTCTTTAACTCAGGGCTTCACACAAGGAAATCTGTGACTGAGACTACATTCCAGAAAGGACTGAAAAATCTCATAAAACTTTTACACGTCTGCCAAGTAATACGACCTGAAAGCTTTGTTTGTCCAAGACCTGTTGTTGTTATGTGCCGTCGAGTCGCTTGCGACTCATAGCAACCCTATGCCCAACAGCCCTAAACTCCGCTCTGTCCTGTGCCAATCGCACTGTCTCTGACACTCCCATCCCAATTATCCCAGTCACTGAATCAATCCACCTTCCTCTCCTGTGCTGTCCCTCCACCCTCCCAAGCATGATGAACCTGGAGGTGAAGAGGAGGGACTTGTTCAGTTTTTTCCTATTAATCTAGGCTTTAAAGATGCACATGATTAAAAAAAATCAGGTTAAAGGAAAACAGCGAAAAGCCTGGCCCCTTCTGTCCACCATCCAACAACCTCACAAGCCCTTTTCCAAACAACATTGTGTATTATTTTTCTACTTCGTTTGTAGTATACTGGACAGCCATTTCTGCACCTGCTTTTTCACTTATCTTGGAACTTTCCCCCTGTCAATATATAAAGAGCTTCCTCATTCTTACATAAGATTGTAAAGTATTTCATCATATGGATGAACCATAATTTATTTAACCAGTTCCTTACCGAAGAATGTGCTACAATTTCACAGTCTGTAATAACACCTTTGGGAGAAAAGTTCTGGGAACCATATATTTGATAAGGATTTAAGATCTAGAATACATAGGAGTTCCTACAACTTAACAACAAAATGACAATTATTAAAATGTGCAAAAGACTTAGACTGTCATTTTACCAAATAAGAAATAGAATGGCCATGAAAAGTTGAGCAGATGGGGGGAAAAGCATCATGTCAATAAGAAAATGCAAATTAAAAAACACAACAAAATATTACTACAATGGATTAAATATTTATGATTAGGAGGAAGGTAAGAAGAAACCCAGCAGGTATTGGTGTGGACAAACTAGAATCCTTGTCTCTGGCTGGTAGGAATGTAAAGACGGTATAGTCACTGTGGGAAACATCTGGAT